GTGCTTAAACATACTTTTAAAACATACTAAAAATCAAAATCTTAATAGTTCATCTCTGAAATCAGATCATTAGAAATACTAAAATGAGGGATGCCTGGGTGGCTCAGTCGGTTAAGCTTCCGACTTCAGCTCAGATCATGATCTCCTGGTTCATGAGGTTAAGTCCCGTGTCAGGCTCTGTGCTGACCATTCAGAGCCTGGAGCCTGCTCAGATTCTGTGTCTCCCGCTCTCTCTCTGCCCCTCCCCCACTTGAGCTCTGTCTCTCTCTCAAAAATAAATAAATATAAAACAAAATAAAAAAAAATACTACAATGAATTTTGAGATCATGTGGATCTCAAAGATTCTCAGAGAGAATGGAGGCTACAGGAGAAATTTGGATTAAACACTATGTGGAACAAGCAGAGTAAGGATGGTACGTTTTGTTTCCTTTGGATTTGGAAAAGCACTAAATGAGAGTTAGCAACCAAATATGTATTTTTAATCAGAATGGCAATGGAGGAGCTATTAGCATATATGTAAATAACACACTTTGTATACTTTTTTTAAAAAATTGAGCCATTTTAAGAATTTAAATGTTAGGATGCAATTTTTAAGACCAAGTGAGAGAATAAAGTTTTTCTCTACCAAAGTATATAATGTTAAAATCACTTAGTCATTCTTTTTTTTTTTTAATGTTTTTATTTTTGAGAGAGACAGAGAGTGAGTACTAGTGGGGGTGGGACAAAGAGAGAGGGAGTCACAGAATCTGAAGTAGGCTCCAGGCTCTGAGCTGTCAGCACAGAGCCCCACACGGGGCTCAGACTCAGGAACTGCGGAGATCATGACCTGAGCCAAATTTGGATGCTCAACCGACTGAGCCACCCAGGAAGCCCCACTTAGTCATTCTTTAACTGAAACAATAATTACAAAGCAACTTCCAGTATTTTCAAATTTGAACTATCAATCCTAAGTGTTTATGAGTGTATGTACATATATACATTCTATGCAAACTAATGTTTGTTGATTCAATTAAAATTTACTGTCTATTAAATATAAAATACTGTTTTTAAAAAATATAAGTGTATATAATCATTTAGACAAGAAGTGTGCTTAAGTCCATTAAATATGAAAACAGTCTCAAGCTCACTTCCCTATTTGTGTTGCTGACATTATGAGAAAGAAACTAACCATCTGAAATGATCCAGTCTTTGGTTTGAATGATTAGGTTGTTTGTCACGCTTCTATTAGCAGTTATAGTCTACTTTTCACCTGGATTCTTCTAAGGCCTCCAACCCTGTCCACCTGGCAACACTGCTTTCTCAAGCTTGTAGTATTATTCTAATATTCAGAAATCTTACTTTATTCATATTTAAGGAACATATAAAAGCAGCGGAAACCAAAGCATATCAGGAAAGGGTCACCCCTCTTAACCAAGATAAGAAAATCAATCAATAGGATTTCAGTAGTAGACAGCGACATACTGTAGGAACAGCACCACAAAACTTTATGATGAAGTTCACTTTCAAACTAAGGAAATAATTTTGAGTGAATGGAATTACCACCATGATAGGATGATCACTGATTGCTCTGTGTTCTCTGAAAACTTGTGGCCACTATGATAGGCTGATCACTGATTGCTCTGTGTTCTCTGAAATTTATGGCCAAAATAAAAAATATTTTCTAGAGAAAGAATTTAGAAGAATGTAATTCTTGAAGGCTACCGATCTGAATAGCTACAAATAGTACTCCCCTGCATCACATATCTGGTTTTGAGCAAAAACTCTCTAAAGACCAAGGATAGAACCAGGCACAACTTATCCCATCAGATTGTGCTGACACTGGGCTACAGTCCTGGCTTATCTGGGATACCAGGGCAGGTCTGCTATGCTCCAATACAGGGATCTGAGGCAGTGGTTAATATGGTACAAGAAATACTTGCAAATATACCTAGCCTGTAACTCCTAGTATGGAATGTTGGCCTGTGCAATAACACCTTGCAAAAAGTAGTTCCTCTGCATACTTATTAAAGATGTCTGTCAAAGTTAAATAACTTGGCCATTCCATTCATTGATTTTTAAATAAAGATGATATCAAAGCTTGGGAATGTGATTTTAGAAAAAGCATTTTAACTTTTCCCAGCACAAAGGGTTGTATGAGGTCACTGAAGCCACAAAAACAAACTCGAATCCTGAAAATTGATTCAAAAATAAATCAGATAACCTGTAAGAGTCTTTGAGGGAAGGTGCACATGAATTCTCCCATGGTGCATCCAAGTTATGAGTCCCTTAGGGCTATTTTATCTTTCATTTGATCAGCCACAAGTTTGAGAACACGGATATCTTATGGATCCTATTCTTGTGAAGACAGAAAGGAGTATTTATCCACATGGATATTTACAGCATAGTTCCTTTGGAGAGGGAAGGGCACCCTTTTTTTGTGTGTATGTTCCAGCCTTGACCTTCCTCTGGCCTTTGTTTTCCTCTGTAGCCAGGTTCTAAAACAACACAGCTGTAGGCAAAGGAAGAGATTGGTCAAATAGCCCACCCAGAGGTGCCATAATAAATGGAAATGAAACTAACGTACGTAGCATTAAGCAAGGTTTGCCCTGGCCAACTGCCTCCCAGGAGTCATCTAAATGGCAAGTCAGAAGAAAACAATGAAACAAACAAAATGTGAAAAACAAACGTGGGGAGAGGCACTCTTCAGAGTCAAATAAAGCTGAGCATCATAAATTTCCTAGTGGCCAGGACTACTAGGAGGAAGAGACTGAGGAACAGTGCTAAAGAATGTTGTAGGGATTTTGTTTCCAAAAGGGATCTATGCACCTGTTGATATGTTTTCCAGGCCCTTGAATGATAACAATTTATGAGGCTATTAATACTAAGCCCAAGATTTATCAGATGTGCTGTTTGTCTTGTGGCCAATATAACCTCATAAAATTTGGGTTGCATTGGGTTAAAATGACCGTTCTGCTATTGGAGTTATTCAAAGCATTTAAATTGCTTAATCCCACAAGAACGGTGTATGTAGCCTGCCTATTAGGGAAAGTCTTTAGGGATTCCTACCAGTTGCAGAGCGAGGCTGGAGGGGGCAGTCCATTTCTGGATGAGGTAAAATGGAGGCAGCAGGGGAGGAATGAGTCCTGGAGACAAGACGATGTTTCTCTAATCCATCCATGCCAACCACAGCCAGCTGAGCTTGGCGCACTGAGCGCGCACGTGTGTGCTGGGGCTCCAGGAAGGGCTGTTGCCAAGAAAAGAGCACAGTAGAAAGAAACATGAGACAAGCATTGAGGGAGACACTGAGAATGACGTGTAAACAAATTAAGTTCATCAGGTCAGAGACATAATAAACGGTGTGAAGGAAAAAGAAAAAAAAATAGAGAAAGGGAGAGAAAAAACAAGATCTAGTCAATAAATCCATTCAACAGATGTTTTCACACTGACTTCCAGGGCCTGTCTGCCTGGCTAGGGAGGAGGTGATGGCAGGAGACCTGTCAATTTGAACTGATTGAAAGAAACAGACCTTTAACCTCAAAAGGAACATCAATTTAGACTCGTTTCCTATCTTGATAACAACATTTGAATATAGCTCCAGAATTGTTGCAACACAAAGTGGGAAAACAATTCAACTGCTTTCAAACTGCCAATAAGGCTAAATTCTGAAAATTCTATCTTGAATTTATTCAGTAATATTGGCAATAAAATTTATGGTAGCCTAAAATTACCAATTATATAACTATATTTTAATACCTTTCAGCCTTCATATTATGGTATAGAACAATGAATTTTTCATAGGTTGAATGGTATAATCTCAATAAAATAAAAATTTTGTTTCTTTAAAGAGTATTAAATATAACCTCAGCGATTTAACAATGTTAACATGTTTCATACTGTAGTTATCAAATCAAAAGCCTGAGTTTGGAATTCCTCGAAGATTCACTTAGTCCATACTTCTGTCTCCAAAAAAGACTATCTCTAAAACACAGACAAGCAGCTAATTTAACTATATTACATAGTGAATATACTTCCTCTTCTTCAAAATCAGGGAATTCCTAACTCTTGCACTGCTTTTTATGATTCTTTCCTTTTCCATATGCTTAACAAATGTGGAAAATGGCTGAACAGTGATATATAAGATGATTTGATTATTACATGCCATAGAAATTGATATGCCAAAAAGTTAAGAAAGTCTTTTAAGTATAAGACTAATTCCTATAATTTTAAACTTTTACATGCCTTTCTGTTTTGATCTACCTGGCTAGCATTTACTCTTTCAAGACTTGATGCAAACATTCCCTCTCATTAGTGAGGATTTGCCTTACACTTCCTATTAGGTTAGGTGCTAGCACCCATTATTTGCGATGCTTGTATTTCTAGCACAAGGCTTGTTATATCCTAAGTGTACAAATTACCCACTTAGAATGCTAACAAATCTACATACAACACAACTGTACTCAATGCATATTGCATGGTTTTATGTCATTATTACTTCCCCTGCATATGAGTTAATGGTGCATATTATGATTATGATTATGAATATTTCATTACAGACAACAGGCAAAGACTGCCCAATTTTTTAAAAATAATCTTTTAAAATTAACTTTAAAATAAGTTGTAATTAGTGTATATGCACATTTTGTTACTGCTGTATACAATACAACAGAATAACTGTACCATCAATCAGTCAGTTGGAAGTCATCTGTCACATACTCAGGCTTTGGGCATTGACTGTGATGATAAGGATGGCTTGGTCAGGACCTAGTTCTAGTTATAATAGTTTTTACACTTTGACAGGAGTTTAACTCTCTTGTTTTCTTGAGTGCTTCCATCTATAATGCCCTGAGGATACAACAGTAAGTATGACACAGTCCCTCCTCTGATGGAATTTATAATCAGAGGGAATGCAAATGCATAATCATGACTTGGGGAATTTTCTATGGGGAAAAGGGTTTTTTCTGCATTTAATCTAAAATGCATGAGTAAACATCTACCTGAATGTCTGTAATCTCCATTTCTCTGTCTCTTCCTACTGTAATTTCTTTAACCCTCATCTAACCTCATGCATAAGGCCTTTGATCACCCTATTCCTAAGACAACCCATCTTACTTCTTTCTGCAAGAATTATCTTCCTAAGACCCTCCTGTAAGCAAGAAGTTGACACAAAAGTCTCTGAAGGAAACTGAAGTCAGAACTTCCCTAGCCTGGCATTTGGGCCTCTATGACCTTAGGCCAACCTGCATTCTCAACATTAGGTGTTCTATTCCTCTTCCAAGTTCTAGCCCAAATCCTATCTACTGTACAACAAATATAATTCCCAGGGCTGCATTCTCATTGTCATGAGCCCTGGGCACTATTAACTTTTTTGGGTTCCTTCCTCCATAAGTAATTATTAGAAAATTACATTCTATGCTTATATTGCCATACAATGGATTTTATATATATTTTCTCTTTTGATTAAAACATTAAAACTTAAACATTCTGGGAGCACCTTCAAGTATCATGGGCTCTGGGCATAGTGTCTACTGTGTCTATGGAGACAGTGGCCCTAGTCCTTTGTGTTCCACCAATCTTTTGTGCATCATCCCTCTAGGTGTATCTATGAAGCTGCACATTCAGCAATCATGCACATCCTCTAAGAAAAACCTGTAATTTTCCAAAGAACCTTTTTAAGCTACCACATTAAATGTACTTTCACTTTCCATTACATTCCCGATACACTTTTTCTCTCTCCTTCTCCTTGCTGTCATCTTTTCTCTATTCGACTTACTGCATGCCATAACCACTTCCTGAGCTCATACTGTGTGCCAGATACTTTGCTGGTGTGTGGAGCCATTTTTATGTTCATTGTCTAGTGAGAATACAGATACTAAATATTTCTAAGTATAATGTAATCATAAATGCAATGAGTGCTGTATAGAATAAATGCAAAGTGCCATAAAAATGTAAAGAAAAATCTGATATAGAGGTTGAAGGAACTTGCATCTAAGAATGTGATGTTTAAGATGTGAAGGATAAGTTGAATTAGGTAAAGACTGGGGACAAGCTCTAGACACACTGTGTGTGTGAGACAAATTATCTTTGCATGTATAATATGCAAAATTTTTTGAACCATGGACTGGATGTAACTCATTTCTGAGTTAAATTTTTTGAGTTTATTTTCTGTTGCATTGTAGATCTTGTTCTTATGCTTTCTTGAACCTAAATAACTATTTGGACATTGAAAATATGTAACATATTTGGAAGTTAAAGGCCAATAATATTAACCATGTTTTAGATGACTGGGGTTACTGAATGGTTTTCTCTCTTAACTAAAGAATCAATACTGTAAGAGCTCCATGGAAATAATATCACTGACTTCTTTTTAAATAAAAGGGGTGCCTGAGTGGCTCAGTCAATTAAACGTCCGATGTCGGCTCAGGTCATGATCTCATGGTTCATGGGTTCAAGTCCCTGCATCAGGGTATGTGCTGACAGCTGAAAGCCTAGAGCCTGCTTCATATTCTGTGTGACTCTCTCTTCCCCTCACGTTATGTCTCTCTCTCAAAAATTAAATAAATGTTAAAAATTTTTAAATAAAATATATTTATTGCTTACTTGAGCTTCACAGGAAACTTTTGAGATAATGGAATAATACTTTGCTAAGCCATAAGCATGAAACAAATGTTACATCTTAATACAGAACTTCATAATCAGGTAGGCAAAATCCTACTTATCCAATCTCTACTATTAGGAATATGGCAACACAGATAAGAGACAAATAACTACTTGTTCAGTAGTAGTTATTTATTTATCACATATAAGTGTTCATCCAATATCTATTGTACATGCAGAAGAAAAGAAATCCCATGTTGGGTTGTATAGACAAGAAAGTGAATTAACCACAGCTCCTGATCTTGTGGGTTGACATTCTATATTCAAGCACTTTATCCCTAGTTGGTAAGTTCCATAAGGATAAAAGCTTTGCCTATTGATTCAGATATTCCAATGTAGTGTTTCAGATGTAGCCAGTGTTAATAAATACACGATGAGTAAATAAATACTCAGGAGATACATAGCCATCCTTAAGATTGCTCTATAGGGATAAAACAAGAAAGCCTATTATAAGCAATCATAACATAGTCAACCAAAGAATGGATAGGTAAAAATATAAGAAAATAGAAACTAAACAATTATCAAAAGACGATACTCTGAAATCATTTAGGGTTAGAGCCAAGAGATAATGAAAGAAATGAGTGATTTGAAAATTATTTTTCCTTTGTAATTTTATGAAGTTTCCAAACCTTCTATGTACCACCCATATTAAAACTTTAAGAAAAATGGTAAATGGTTTTAAAAATACACAGTCAAAACTTAGACATAAGAGCAGACATAGGTCAAATATTTTTGAACCTTCTACCAAAAAAAGGACTAAAGAAGTGAGAAAAGATTATTCACTTTCAAGAGTTGAACACAATTATATACCCTTTTACAAATGAAGTATGGCTTTTAATATATAGGGGGAATCTTGACAATCCAGTAAGGCACACATTACTATGCTCATATTTGACAACAAAGTATCACAAAATGGTAAGCCACTTTTATTTCTGATGGATATTACTCCAAAGCAATAAAAAGCTTTCTGCTTGAGGCTGAAAATTGAGACAATTTTTTTTTTTATTTATTCTAAGAGAAAGAACAAACAGGGGAGGGGCAGAGAGAGAGGGAGAGAGAGAATCCCAAGTAGGCTCCGCACTGTCAGAGCAGAACCCAATGAAGGGCTCAAACTCAAAAACTGAGATCATGACCTGAGCCAAAGTCAGATGCTTAACTGACTGAGCCACCCAGGTGCATCTAGTTAGTATTTTTGTGTTGTAGCCGGAATTTACTGATGTGTTTCACTACACCTTTTTTTTCCTATTAGCAATTTTAATGAGAGATAATTTTGTCCGTATTTTCCATAATTTTAAGTACAAAAGAGAATGTTTCTGTCGCGTTTTCAGAAAAATAAAATGCTTAAGAGCACAAAACCTATTGTTACTAAAAATTAGATGGATACCCAAACTAAACTTTCATCTACTGAGCCTCACTGAAAAATGTGTCATGCCCACATGAATAATAAATACAATGTCCCCTCAAAAAAGCCTTTTTGCTTAAGATATCTTTTAAATATACTATCTTGAGGCTATTTCTTAAGCATACATTAGTCCTTCTTTTTTCAGGTTATTTAACTGGTGCTTTGGTTTTGATTGGTTACTTTGCCAGACTGTCATTCTGAGAAATTGTCTCAGGTTACTAACTGTAAGACAACATTTTCTTAGATGAAGGAAGTAAGCGGTTCAGGCCTTATATGCCTGAACATCATCTGTCTCCTCCCACTGATAAAAACTATAAATTACTTTCACAGTAGAGTTACTATGCATCCATTTTATAAATTCTTCAGTAATGCCTAATAAAACATCAATGTCATTGAGGCCCAAGCCTTTCTAAATATGGGGGATAGGCACTGCTGTCCCTTTGAAAGTGGGTAGGAAAAGGTCTTGAAGTTTTCTGTACGGCAAGCACAATGTTCTTCCTTAGAGTAAAATATTTATTTAGAGGTAGCTTGCTAATGGAGATTATGAGGTAATAAAGCCCCTGGGCAGAGGCAACATCAACACTATATTTTTCTTTAATTTTTGGTTATGTTTCTGTTTGGTTTTGTTTTGCATTCTTGTCGTCATTCCTTAAGGACCTCTTTTATGGCTTCTGGGTTTTCACTTTGTTCTGGATGGTTACATTTGTTTCCAGACATGTGGGTGGCTGCTCATTATGTGTGATAATCAGTATCATTATGCAATTTCAGCAAGAACAAATACAGAAATAAAAAATTATAGTGTTTCATCTTTGAAATAATCAGTGAAATAATCAGAATTATTTGAATTAGCTTATTAAAAGGTAGGACCTAAAAGAAAAAAATATCATGGGAAAACAATTATGAAAAAAGTTAAAATTTGATTTCCAACGCCATCTCTTTAAAGAATATATGTTCCTTCTTTATTGGCATTATGACCAAGTTGATTTTCTTCTTGGTTTCACAGTGTTTTGAACTTCAGGAGTCTTGTTTTTCAGAAAATTAGAATCATAAATATGCCTAGAGCCTATCTTGTAAAATGCCAAGGGCTGCGGGAAATTTGCACGTTCTAAAGTATTTGTATTATTCAGGATGGATGCATAAATACTGATTAACTTTAGACTGTTTAAAACTAAACATGCATGTCAATAATTTAAAAGGAGCTTAAATAAAAATGATGTATATAACTTTAAAGAAGACAAAAAAATTTTGGAAAAGAGAAAGGGAACCCTCTTGCACTGTTGGTGGGAATGCAAACTGGTGCAGCCACTCTGGAAAACAGTATGGAGTTTCCTCAAAAGTTAAAAACAGAACTACCCTATGATCCAGCAATCATACTACTAGCTATTTACCCAAAGAATACAAAAATACAAATCCAAAGGGATACATTTTATACGCATAAAATAGATGATGGGGATTAAGGAGTGCACCTGCTGTGGGGCACCTGGGTGGCTCAGCCAGTTAAGCATCCAACTCTTGACTTGGGCTCAGATCATGATCTCATGGTTTGTGGGTCTGAGCCCCATGTCACTGACAGTGTGGAGCCTGCTTGGGATTCTTTCTCTCTCCCTCTCTGCCCCTCATACTCTCTTTCTCTCTCTCTCAAAATAAATAAACTTTAAAAAAAAATGGAGCACCTGGGTGGCTTAGTCAGTTAGGCACTAGACTCTTGGTTTTGGCTCAGGTCATGATCTCACATTTCATGGGTTCAAGCCCCATATCAGGCTCCACACTGACAGTGCAGAGGCTGCTTGGGATTGTCTCTCCCTCTCTCTCTCTGCCCTCCCCCACTCACTCTCTCTTTCTCTCTCAAAAATAAACTTAAAAATTTATTTTTTAAAAAAAGAGTGTACTTGCTCTAATGAGCACCAGGTATTGTATGGAAGCATTGAATTACTATATTGTATACCTGAAACTAATACTACACCATATGTTAACTAGAATTTAAATAATTTTTAAAAAGAAAAAGAAATGACAACTTAAATTTATTAAAATTAGCCATTTTGATAAAAAAGAAATAAAAGAAGCAGTAATATAAAATAAATGGAGAAAAAATGAAACATGAAAAAAGCTGAACTATAATGCACAAAATGAGATGCTAGGAACAAACCTCAATTTATTACTAAACACAGGTGATGTGAAGGTACTCAATTTACCATTTAAAAGATGAAGACTATGGATTAGGAGATTAGGTTAAGACAGACCAAGAGCCTTCAAAGCCCTGAATAAGTCATATCGATTTAACTCCTGTGCACCCAACTCTAAGGACTGCAAGAATCTATCCTACAGCAATTGATTGCAAATCAAACACTTTAATTAAGCTAAGCCCTTACTAGATTGGTGGGCCTCCATCCCACAAAAATTTAGTTAACAGCTAAACGCCCTAATCAACTGGCTTCTCTCACCTTCTAGGAGGAAAAAAAAAAAAAAAAAAAAAAAGGCGGTAGAAGCCCTGGCAGTATTTGAAGCTGCTTCTTTGAGTTTGCAAATCAATGTGATATTTCACCAGAGAGCTTGGCAAAAAGAGGGCTTCAACCTCTGTTCTTAGATTTACAGTCTAAGGCTTTACTCAGCCACTGTAGCTATGTTCATAAACCGCTGACTATTTTTCACTAACCACAAAGATACTGGAACTCTCTACCTTTTATTCGGTGCCTGAGCTGGCATATAGGAACGGCCCTCAGCCCTCTAATTGGAGCTGAACTCAGCCAACCCAGTACTCTACTAGGAGATGATTAGATCTATAAAGTAATTGTCATTGCCCATGCATTCGTGATAATTTTCTTTATGGTAACACCAATCATGATCAGAGGCTTTGGGAACTGAGCAAGTTTAAATTAAAAGATTTTATGAAGACATACAAAAAATACTAACAAAAAAAAAAAAAAAGAAAAAAACAAAGGGGCAGAGGAGGAAGAAAAGCCTTGGGCAGCCATCCTGAAAAGAGACAAAACAGACTTTAGGGGGAAAATATTAGAGACCATATAAAGTTACATATAAAATAATATGAAAGTTAAATTAACAGCGACAAAAAATTTAAACCTAGGAACATAAGCTCAATATGTAAAGAGCATAAATTGGCAGAATTACAAAGAAAAAATTAAAAATTCACATATGGTAGGAGGTCATAACAAACTTAACAAAGCGATTGAGGTTACAGAAGATCTGAATAACCCAATTCTCTAGTTATTAAATTTTGAAACCAATAAAATACTCTTTCAAGCACCTATGGAACAACTACAAAACTAATACAATAAAGCAAATGTCAATAAACTTTTAAAAATTATTATTTATAATGGAATATTATTCAGTCTTAAAAAGAAACTCTGACATGTGCAATAATATAGATGAACCTTAAAGGCATTAGGCTAAGTGAAATAAGCCAGTAACAAAGGACAAATACTATGTGATTCCATTTGTATGACACACCTAGAGTAATAAATTCATGAAGACAGGATTGTGGTTACCAGGGGCTGGGAAAAGGGGAAAAGACAGTTATTATTCAAAGGGTACAGAGTTTCAATTTGGAAAGATGAAAAAGTTCTGGAGATACATTGTGGTAATGGGTGCACAACAAGGTGAATATACCTAATGTCACTGCACTCTACACTTAAAAACAATTAAATGGTAAATTTTTTGTTATATATATTTTCCAGGAAAAAAAGAATTAATATTATAAAGATCATGTATGCTGATGACATTATAATCAGAGATATAAAGTATGTAGATGAAAATATACACTATACTCTGTTATTGAAAGAATTAAAATCATAAAGATTACAGTTCTTCCCAAATTATTTCTGGAATGTTTCAGCTCATTCTAAATTTTGTATAGGAGATTAAAGGCAGAGACGAGCTATGTGAATTTTGAACATAAGGAATAAGCGGGGAGATAGGCCCAACCAAATACCTATACATACTAAAACCTAAATCATTTAACACAATAGAGTATTATTACATCATTGAATAGAGTATAATAAATTAGTAGGATAGAATAGAGAGCCCAGAAGGAGACCCATGACTATATGAAAACTCCGTAAATAATAAAGATGCCCTACAGAATAGCAGTTAAACAAGGAATGTCTATACGTGATGCTGGGAAAACTGGTAACCTCTAAGGGGAACAATAAATTTAGATTCCTAATACTATCTGGAAAAATAAAGGATTAAAAACTAAAATGTAAAATTCACAATTTAAAATATTTAATAATGTGGAGAATATCATTGTAAAGTTGGAGAAGGAAAGGAATTTAAGTACTTTATAACACGAGCCAGTAAAATACACGCCACCAAGGAAAAGAGAAGAGACTAAACAGGTTGGAATGTTCACTGAGCATCTACTAGGCCCTGAAAATGAGGCCTGCTGTCCATTCACTGAGGCCTAAACACTGAGGCTGGGGGAGGAGGGCCCAGGGTTCCTCCATCTGAAGCACTGCTTTGTACAAACCTAAGCACACAAAGCAGGCATCACTTTAGGTTCTGACATAAGTTCATAACAATTCAAGGCCATGTGCTAATCAGATCTGGGTCTGGGTCCAGACCACTCAGCCTAAAAGAAAAGACAAGATAAATTAGGGGTAAAATGTTTGCAAATATTTAATGAATAAAGCAATTTTTAATGTTTGCATTACATACATAACTCTTCACTTGATCTTAGCCAAAAGGCCGAGAAGCGATACATACATCTTAAAAATAAGTGGGGACAGAAAAATGGACAAGTATGAACAAGGAATACCCAGATAATGAAACATTTCAATAAACCAACAAATACATGAATAGAAACAACCTCAGTAATAAAAGAAATGTAAATTAAAATCAACAGGGGATGCCATTTTACACTCATCAGATTGACCCAACATTTGAACTCTGATAATAGCAAGCATTAGTGAAAATACAGAGCAAGAAAAACTCATAGATGGCTTGCAGAAGGATAAATTGTTACAACCACATCAATGAACAATCCACTAATATTGAGTAAAAGTGAAGATGAACAATAAATCTACAGTAAAAATGGTAAGTGAAAAAAGCAAGGAAAATAATATATATGAAGTTAATTATTTAAGTTTAAAAATGTGCAAGTGAATATCATATACTGTTTAAGTGTATATGAATGTAGTAAAAATATAAAGAGAAAGGCATGGGAAAAATGGGCAAAATTAGAGAAATAGAAGGGAGGTAAGATAGGAGAGAGACATACAGGTAATTTCAACTATATACTATATTTCTTATGTTGTATGACAATATTAAACTATTATATAATAATGTACCATATGTCATATAGTATGTATATATTATATACAATTAATTTTTTTAACCTTTATTTATGAGAAAGAGAGACAGAGTGTGAGCAGGGGTGGAGCAAAGAGAGAGGGAGACACAGAATCCGAACCAGGCTCCAGGCCCTGAGTTGTCAGCACAGAGCCTGAAGTGGGGCTCGAACTCACAAACCGTGAGATCATGACCTGAGCCGAAGTCGGAGGCTCAACCGACTGAGCCACCCAGGAGCCCCAATATACAATTATTTATTAGATTTTATTTCTTAAGCTGGATGTTATGGATGCCCATTATTATATTTATCATTTTCTCTGTATATAAATACAGAGAAAATAAATTGTAAATGTTTAATAAGTTGGCGCAAACAAAACACCAATATTGTTGTAACACAATGGTTTTAGTTATAGGACTAAGTTTTTGTATGGAGGAAATACAGATTCACTGGAAAATACAAACAGGGGAGTTCCTGGGTAGCTCAGTCAGTTAAGCAGCCAACTCTTCATCTGCTCTGTTCATGATCTCAAGGTTCATGGGCTCAAGCCCCACATTAGGGACTGACAGTGCGGAGCCTGCTTGGGATTCTTTCTCTCTCCCTCTCTCTTTGCCCCTCCCCCCACCAAAAAAAAAAACCAAAAAAAAAAAAAAAAAAGGAAAATACAAATAGAATGAGTGAAAGAAAAAAACAGAAATAAAGTTAAAGTAGATAAGAAAAAAATAATAAGTATGAAAAAATATTTTTATTAAGTTTAAGCTAATTTAGAGGTCATACAGTCATAAAATATTCATTAATTTGTACCAACTTACACTGATAAATGAATACAATAACATGTACAATTAAGTATATTTCATTTTTAGAATTTCAACATATTATTAAATTCATCTCAATGAGAAAACGACGATCCTTAAGGGACTGAGAAATGAGAGCAGAAGGATGTAAATTAGAAATGTAAAATGAGGATTTTGAATAGAAAACAAATTTAAATGTGCAAATTTTAGGAAAATATCTAAAAGGACAAAAACAATTAAAAGTAATTACTTCTAAACACTGAAACTCTGATTGCTTTACTGATTGTTATATTCTTATTGTGACTGACTGTACTTTCCAAATTGCCTAATAAGCATTTATTTTATCTTATTTTATTTTACTTTATTTTTTAAAATGTCTTTATTTTTGAGAGAGAGAGGACAAGAACATACGGGAGGGACAGAAAGAGAGGGGGAGAGAGAGAGAATCCTAAGCAGGATCCACACCCTTTGTATGGAGGTGGATGTGGGGCTCGAACTCACGGTACCACGAGGTCATGACCTGAGCTGAAATCAAGAGTTGGACACTTAACCAATTGAGCCACCCAGGTGCCCCAGAAGCATATATTTTTATTTTAGAGGTTCTTTTGAAATGTTTTACTTCATTGTAATATCAGTATTTTAATTGGTTAGATATGCTAAGGTGGTGTGCATGTGTGTATTTAAAGTAAACACGAATTGCTATTAACTCAGACAGACTTGGACAATGAAGGACTATTAGATACAAGCTACGTATGAACAGAAACTCCCATTGCACTATTATAATCCCAGTCCCAAATTTAGAACTTGGAACATAACAGGAGCTCACTAAATTCTGAGTTTGAAGAATGTATATATTATATCTTAAAAATATGACTGCTTCTAAAAAGAGAGAGAGACAAATCAAAAAATAAGACTCTTAACTATAGAGAACAAACTGGTGGTTACCAGATGGAAGGTAGGTGGGGGGGATGGGTAAAATGGGTGATGGTGATTAAGAAATATAATTATGACAAGCATTGAGTAATATATAGAATTGTTGAATCACTATATTGTACACCTGAAACTAATGTAATACTGTATGTTAATTAGACTGGAATTAAAATTAAAAACATTTTTAAAAAACTAAATAAATAAAATGATAAAGTAAAAGAAACAAAAGAAATACATAACTCCTTCCAGATTTGGGAGAAAAATCTGACTCTATTTGTTTGAGCTGGTAAATCTACATAATTTCTAAATGTCATTTAAATTTCTTGTGTTTCTTCTTCACAGTGTGGTTTACCAAAGAGTTTTGTGGCAATCAACAACTCTAAGTCACTAAGATATCTTATTTTGTTTTAACTCACCAGTGTATTGAAATAATTTATCCTATTAAAGTCATAGTTACAACAGGTGATTGAAATGAAGTTTCAGAGAAAGTCTACACTTCTCGATATGTAACTGGGTGTATAGAAGTAATTCACTTTTACCTTAGTGCCTTAAATTAAGGGTGAAGACATTGGTTGATGACATTTGGCTAAAGGCTGGTATAATGCGGAATAGAGCCCCAATATAGTAACTGTGAGCAGTGGTCTCCAAAGCGAGGAATACAACCCAATACGGTGGGGTATAAAAGAAAACAGTAGAGCTTCTACTGATACTTGGTTTTTAAATAAAAATACAAAAATCAAATAAACTATACTAATATTTGATACATGAATAGACACTAGCATTTACACCCAGTCCCTGCATCAAGGATTACACAGGACAAACTCTCTGTAAGATATCCTAACATAGGAAGGGGAGTCTAATTTCCAACCTTAATATAAAACTACAATCTATAAAGCTATAATCAAAACAGTATGCTCCTGGCATAAGGATAGACATATAAATCAATGGAATTGTACTGAGGATCCAGAAATAAACCCTTATACTTATGAACAATTTATTTTTACCAAGAGTACTAACATTTTTCAATGGAGAAAGATTAGTCCTTCAACAAATGGAGCTAATTCATCTGCATATCCACATGCAGAAGAATGAAACTGACCTTTTCTCACACCACACAAAAATGAACTCCAAGTGGATCACAGAACTAAATATGAGAGCTAAATTTATAAAATTCTTTTAAGAAATATAAGAGTAAATCTTAGATGTAAGACCAAAAGAAAAAAATATCCTGAAAATACATAAATTAGATATAATCAGAGCTAAAAACTTTGTTTCAAAAGGACACCATCAAGTAAATAGATAATCCATGAATCAGAGAAAATATTCATAAAACATGTATCTGATAAGAGATTTGTACCCAAACTATATAAAGAATTCTTATGCCTCCATAACAAAAAACCAACCCAATTCAAAAATTAAGTCAATTTTCTGAATACACATTTCTCTAAAACAGATACACAAATGACCAATAAGCACATGAAAAGAAGCTCAACCTCATAAGCTATAAGGGATTTGTAAATCAAAACAACAATGAGAAATAACTTCACACCAACCACATTGGTTTGTAATAAAAAAGATAGATAATAGCAACTGTTGGTGGGAATGTGGAGAAATTGGAACTTTCATACACTTAGTAAAAAGGAAATACGATGGAGCCCCTTTGGAAAACAGTCTGGCAGTTCCTTAAAAAGTTAAAGAACTACCACATAACCTAGAAATTTCCATAATATGTATATACTTAACAGAAATGAAAATATATGCCTTACAAAAATTTAAACACGAATGTTCACAACAGTACTATTCATAATAACCCAAAATAGAAACAACCTATATGTCCATCAACTGATGAATAAATTATGGCCTATCTATGCAATGGAATATTATCTAGCCATACAAAAGTAATTTTTTTGTTCATTCATAAATAATACACAAACTTATTTGCTATTTTCAGGAGAAATTTAGTCATTAAGCTGCAAGTTGAAAAACTATGAATACCTAAAAATGTATAAATATCCACTCAAAATAAATTTTAGTGAATTAAGTCTTAATATGTTTACATTTAAAAATCACAAGCCTATTAAGTCAAGGTCATAAATCAAATGACACAAAGTGACCAGAAACACCACATAGGGCACACTTGAAGGCCACCAATAGGCCTCCCTCCTCCGGGAGCTCTGCTGGGGAGATGGGTAATCTGGTAGCTAAAGAAGGCTGTGATAAACTGTTGAAGTCAAACACTGAACAATATATGAGACCTTAAATAAAGGAGATAAATTCTAGGTTCTGGAGAGCTTAATCAGATTATTTGAGAAGGAAAAGAAAAGAGCACAGGCAGAAGTCTCAGAAGCATTTGAAACCAGAGGAGTCACAGCCTCTGACCTACCTGTTAGCAGCTCTCGTGGTCAAATGTGCCCAACTACCCTGGGAAGCTGCAGGTCAAGAAGCAAAGAGCGGTTCCTGCTGAGCCAGGTCCCCCTGACACTGAGAGTCCTTACCATCAGCTGAGAAAGTCCGTTCTCAAAGCATGCGCTGTGCAAAAGTTTCTAAAGGAATCCTAGTAGCTCCAAAGCCATGTCAGATGGGCAGAGCCCATGGAGGTTGGGTGTGAAGTCTCAAACATCCCAGGAATATTAGGGACAAGTGCACAGTTACACAACGAAAACAGTAAAGAGCCAGAAAGAGACATTTGTGATGTGCTGTAAATATACACTTTCGTTGTGACCTGTCGTTCCAGCTCCAGGAGCCAAGAGGTCACACCTCCTGCCCCGAGCTCCAGTCCAGACAAAGGCACCAGCTCCTCCACGAGGCCGGGGGATGGACAAGGCACAACTTCCACTTCCCTTTAAATGATTTAACAGCTCACTGCCAGATGTAGCAGCACTTTTAGGCATTTCTAAAAATTAAAAACACTAAGTAGGTTATCCACGCTAGGAAAGTACCGATACGAAGATCTCTGTCCTGGGAAATACAAATCAGAAGCCTGACTGGCGTTCCAGGCCGAAGTCAGGCAGGAGAATCCTGGCTCAGGAGGCCCGGGAGGTACCGAAAAGGCGTGAGCCACTCCTGTCTTCAACCGCCCACAGACGCTGAGTAATGGCCAACCCGTTACACCTGGCAGGAGGCGGACTGCTCCTCGGGCGAGAGCAGGTGACCAGCAGACACCTAGATCCCGGGGCCACGGTGCTGCGGCCACTTCCTAGAGGTGATGCCCAGGCTTCGTCACACACCGTTTATGCAGCACCCAAAGCGCTGCTCTTTAATATCTTCCAGGTGGGTCCCGAGCGTCCCGCCTCGGGCCACGGCGGCACCTGGAAACCTGGAGCAGAGGCCCCCACGCGGCTGCCCACTAAGCCTGCAGGGCTCGTCCGCGTGGGGACGCCCGGCCTCACTCAGCTGGTCGCGTCTCTCACCACCCACCTCAAGATGCAAAAACACTTCAAACCAGATTTCTAGAAAGAGTGTCAAGACAGGCTTCTTTACACAGCCAGGCGCCAGGCTTCTTCCACCTGGCAGTTGCATCTTGGGAAAAGGTAAAATGCTCCTTTAGCCGTCAACACTGTGTTCCCCACATCCTCGAACCTGGTTCTTGTAAAATCCTGGCTTTCTCGCTGGGCTCACGGGTCACGCCGTATGGGGAGCTACACAGCTCCCTGGAATCCACAGTGAGGAATTCGACTCAGTCTTCACTCCCGGAACTGTAGAAAGGGCCGCCGCTGACCAGCAGCTCAAATTTCCAGCCCTCAATCACGTGGCTACAACTGCGCAACCTCCTCTTCCTCACGCTGAAGCTCACGCTATGCGGCACCTGTGACGTTTGCGGCCTCGTTCTCGAATTTTATCCTTCACAAGTTTCCTTACCGAGGAAATGTTATAAAATTCTGCTTCCTCCAACACCCCTTACTCTATCCAGTTCAGCACAGGAACCAAATAGGTAGAATCTCTGTCCCATCCTTGTCCAAGTCCTGGCCACGTGCTCCTGTGGCCTAAACGGTACACGAAAGATTTCCGGTCCGCACAGCGTCTGCCGGGTGGTGAGGAAGTAGGTTCCGCCTTCATCGTGCAGGATCCACTAGCACCTGCGGCCAGACCCGGAGCGCCGCTGTGCAGCAATAGCTCTGGCAGCCGCCCCCTGCCGCCCCGAATGCGGTTCCAAGGTGCCCTCTAGCTGTGCCTGCGGTACCAGCTTGCAGTCCTTCTCCACCAAGACCTCAGAAAGCCCCGTCACAGCGCCACAGAGAACACTTTCCGGTTGATGGGGTAAAATGCCTCCAGGTGGTCAGAAGGTACAAACTTTCAGTTATGTAATGTACAGCATGGTGAATATGGTTTAATAATACCGTATTATGTATTCAAAAAAATGTAATGAAGCTCTGATGCATGCTACAGCATGGATGAACCCTTGAAAACATACGAAGTGAAAGAGGACAGCCACACAAGACCATGTATTGTACAATTCCGTTTACATAAAATGTCCTGAATAGACACATTTTCTTTTATGGAGACAGTAGATTCATAGTTCCCTGAGAGTAGAGGTGGGGTAGTGGGGAATTACTGTTGATGGGCACAGAGTTTCTTTTGAGGGTGATTAAAATGTTCTAAAATTGACTGTGTTAATGGTGGTACAACTGTGTGAATATATTAAAAACTATTGAATTGTACACTGAAGGGACTCAACCATATGATATGTGAACTGTATCTCAATAAAGTTGTTAAAAATAACACTTTTTTCATCATAGTGCCAAAAGCCCATTAACTCTCAAGGCAAAATTTATTTACAAATGATTTTTATTTCATTTTTATCTCACCTTTCTCAGTTTATCCTTTTGTGCATATTCTGTTAACATATAGAATACACTGATGTAATGGTACATTTATGTAATTTGGAAAGATATACTTTTACGTCTTTTTATGTATCTATATAATGATTATATACATAAGTATCTGCTAAAATATGTGTATTACCTGTGATAAAAAAAATTGTACACAGTAAGAGTTGAAGAGTAAAGTGTTCCTTCTTATTTTTGTTTTAAATTTTTTAATTTTT